CGAAGAGGAAAAAAATTGGGACTTGTAAATTGTGAATTGTGAATTGTGAATTGTATTCTACTAAATTGATCTGGGTAAATTGGTATTCGGTTGTTTTTAGTTTTCCCAACAAATTTTACTATACACATGGTGTTTGGACTTTATTAAAACACAATTATTCTTGGGGTATGGTAGATTCTAGCACCAAAATAACCTTAAATCATAGTGTAAGATTCAAAATAAACTTAAATCGTGATAGTGCAAGAACCCAAATAGCTTTGAGTCATGCAATATAGAGGACCGAAAAGGTGAGCCCTGCTGCTAACTAGTCCTACCTAAGAAGAATCTTTTGTCCATATCTACATGCATTATTTGTGAACAATCATTTTGTTTTATAAATCATTATTAAACACAATTATTTCTATTAAATCACAGGAAATTTACCATATTGGGGTCGGAGAGGGAGGGGAGAAATTCCAATGTAGCTCAAAAAATCATAACATTTGAAAATTCTTTGATGTTTCATTTCTGACTTCGGAGGCACCGCCAAGACTTTTGCTAGGAAGGTGCCAGGCATGTGTTGGCAAAAATCAATATACACGGACCACTTGATGGTTGGAATAACAAGTCATCTATGTATAAAATCTATAACAATGATCTCAAAACTAATTTGAGGTAGAGGTTTGAGAACGTAAACAAGTTTGCCTCTTCGTGAGTCCCCTTTCCGTCTTGTCTGCATTGAAGGTAATCTTCTTCACAATCTTAGAAGAAAAAATCCAGGACGTCTACCAGTACGAGTTTCTGCTCTAAAGAAACCGGAAAAAAACAGAGAGTGAAGGATCGAGGGTGGCAGAGAGGAAAAAATCAGAGAGGGAGAGGGAGATCTGGAAGTTACACGGTTGCGAAGAGGCTAGAAGAAGAAAGAATTGGGCTTTGGCTAGATATGTCACCTCTCTACTGAAGTCTTCCCACACGATTTGTTTCTGCTACGTGCATTCGTATACAACTAGTAGAACTTTGGTTTCTTAGCAGAATTATGTTCCAGCTTGAGTTTGCCAAATCTCTTGCTCTTAACTTTTTGTTTCATGTTTGAACTCAAGAGAAGGCTAGTTAAGAAGACTAGAAGGAATCTATCAGTATTAATTTATTGCAACTGGGATTCCCATGGCATCATCCAGCATGCAGAAAGCAGCCTCATCTTATTCTCCTCCCCAATGGAAGTATGATGTCTTCCTTAGTTTTAGAGGAAAAGACACACGGAATAACTTTACTAGCCATCTATATTCTAATTTGGTACAAAGAGGCATCGATGTATACATGGATGATAGGGAGCTAGATAGAGGAAAGACCATCGAACCTGCTCTATGGCAGGCCATCGAAGATTCAAGATTTTCAATCGTTGTGTTTTCAAGAGATTACGCGTCTTCACAATGGTGCTTAGATGAGCTTGTCAAGATTGTTCAGTGCATGAAAGAGATGGGGCACACTGTTCTACCAGTTTTTTATGATGTGGATCCATCAGAGGTAGCCGATCAGAAAGGGAATTATAAGAAGGCGTTCATTGAGAATAAGGAAAAGCACCCGGGAAATCTGGACAAGGTAAAATGCTGGGGTGATTGTCTCTCCACAGTGGCCAATCTATCTGGCTGGGATGTACGGAACAGGTAAACTAAGCCCGCTTATCTTCATTTTGGCAGGAGTTATTAGTCTCGCATGTCTTAGTTCGATATCCTTGTAGATTTTATTATTGAGTTTATGTACTTCCTAAAAGACTTAATATCCTTGTGGTGGATGATATTTATTAGTCATTTATCATTTCTTTATTTGATGTAGAATATGTTATCTAATAATATCTTTTTATCCTGTTCTTCGAATGTTTACTAGCAAATTGTTTGTTAAAAAAAGAAAAATATAATATCGAAAAACTAATATTGAAGGGTGACTAATAGTAGGCATGTGATTGAGTTTTCATGGCGAGCTTGACAAATGACAATACACAAAAGAAATGTTATGTCGAATAATCTTTTCGAAAAAGAACTCTTTAACAATTTAAAATCTAAAAGGTTCTTTTATAAAGGCAAATCATTGCAAGATAAATTGATAAATTGACATGGCAATTTAATACGTGATCGAGCTTTTTCTTGGAAAACAATTAGAGGATAATTTAGTGGCCAACAAAAATTGACAGTGATTGGTTTTTTGCCTGTCAAAACCATACTTGGTGGCTTTTGTGTTCTTACGTGCATGCTATTCTATGTACAAGAAGCTAGCTATTATAAGGATCATTCTGTGCATCCACAGAATCCGAGTCCCTTTCCAAATTATTCTTTCCTTTTCCTCCTCCTTCTTGAGGTATTATCGAAGGTTGATTGATTAATTTCTCATTAACAACCATATATTTGAAGTAACAATATTTCATGTTTTCGCGCACTACATGGTTCATGTTTTTACCCCTTTTACGCAGGGACGAGTCACAATCAATTAAAAAGATTGTTGAATATATACAGTGCAAACTGAGCTTCACTTTGCCAACAATTAGCAAAAATCTAGTTGGAATAGATTCTCGTCTGAAGGTATTGAATGAATATATAGACGAACAAACAAATGATACTCTCTTTATAGGGATATGTGGAATGGGTGGCATGGGAAAGACAACTGTTGCAAGAGTCCTGTATGATAGGATTCGTTGGCAATTCGGTGGCAGCTGCTTCTTAGCAAATGTGAGAGAAGTTTTTGCAGAGAAAGATGGACTATGTCGTTTACAGGAACAACTCCTTTCAGAAATCTCAATGGAGCTTCCCACTGCACGGGATTCTTCAAGAAGGATTGATTTGATAAAGCGCAGGCTGCGGCTTAAAAAGGTTCTTCTTATTCTCGATGATGTAGATGATGAAGAACAATTACAGATGTTGGCTGCAGAGCATGGATCGTTTGGTCCAGGGAGCCGGATTATCATAACGAGCAGAAATAAACATGTGCTAGATAGCCATGGTGTTACTAGAATATACGAGGCTGAGAAATTAAATGATAAAGATGCTCTTATCTTATTTAGCTGGAAAGCTTTCAAAAGAGACCAGCCTGCCGAAGATTTATCGGAACTGTCCAAGCAAGTTGTGGGTTATGCTAATGGCCTTCCACTTGCTCTTGAAGTCATAGGTTCGTTCTTGCATAAAAGAGGTCTGCGTGAATGGAAAAGTGCAATTGATAGAATGAATGACATTCCTGACAGGAAGATTATTGATGTGCTTCGCATTAGTTTTGATGGCCTCCATGAATTAGAGAAGAAAATTTTTTTAGATATCGCTTGCTTCCTGAAGGGGATGAAAAAGGATCGTATAACAAGGCTACTCGACAGTTGTGGGTTCCATGCAGATATTGGGATGCAGGCTCTTATTGAGAAATCCCTTATAAGAGTCTCACGAGATGAGATATGGATGCATAATTTATTACAGAAAATGGGTGAAGAAATTGTTCGTTGTGAATCCCCTGAAGAGCCTGGAAGACGCAGTAGATTGTGCACATACAAGGATGTCTGCAACGCACTAAAGGACAGCACAGTGAGTAGCAGCTGATATATACAGAACATTCATTATCCATAAGATTTCATGCTCCATCTCTACTCTGTAATAGCTTCTTACCTATCCTTCCTCTTGGTCGACAGGCAAAAAATAGAAAGCATTTTCTTGGACTTGCCCAAAGCAAAAGAGGCAACATGGAACATGACAGCCTTCTCAAAAATGACCAAACTAAGATTGCTCAAAATTCACAACGTGGATCTTTCTGAAGGACCTGAGTATCTCTCAAACGAGTTACGATTCCTTGAATGGCATGCTTACCCTTCAAAGTCATTGCCAGCTTGTTTCCGTCCGGATGAGCTTGTTGAACTCCACATGTCTTGCAGCAGCATTGAGCAATTATGGTGCGGATGTAAGGTAAGACCCACTAGCTCTTTTTTTGTTTGTATCTTTTCATAAGCCATCATAAACCACGGAAGGCATCAAACGGTATGGTGAAACAAGAGATAACATGAAGCTACAGTATAGTTACGTACAGCAGTAAAGAAATAGGACAAGGATACCAATTCATGACAAATTGTGATTGGATTCCCTACACTCTCGGCTCTCATGTAAGATTTCAATTTAGAGAGAAGAAAAAAAACATACAATAGACAAGTGCAAATAAAGATGAGATTAAGATAGATGAGTAGTTTTTTAAAGTATTTTTAATTTATAAATATATTAAAATAATATTTTTTATTTTCTAAAATTTACTTGTAATATAAAGACATGAAAACCATCTAATATTACTAGAAAAAATTAATACTTGTAATATAAAGACATGAAAACCATCTAATATTACTAGAAAAAATTAATTTGAAGTAAAACAAAAATCTTATTATGTTGTAAAAGAAAGAAATAAAATTAATCTTATTATGTTGTAAAAGAAAGAAATAAAAAGTATAATATAGAGTCAGTCAAACATGAGATTTAAATTACAACAAAAAGAAGAAAAAAAAAACATCGAAACTTGAGATTACCTATTAATGGCTGCTTGCTTGTCAATTGAATATCGTAACTGTTAGATACATGTTGTCGGAATGAGGTATACATGATAATGGACGGCAAAATTTTCGAGATTTCCCTCTCCTTTTCTTTTATAACAAGATATACTAGAGAGGGAAGGGTGAGAATATTACCTATCCTATAGCACCAAACTCATTTAATCATTGATTACAACAATGAATTTACTATTTTGCCCCTTCAAGAAATAGCATTTAGGCTTGACGGTGAGGGTAAGATGGTTTTTTAGTTTTTTATGAATACTGAGACTACTGAAATGCTCTAGAAAGCAAAATATATATGCATTGTTTAAGGGTAATTTTGGTTTTTAAATGGAGGGTTATTTTCATTGTTTTTTTTTCAAAGGCATTATAATTTTTAACCAAAATTATATAATATTAAATTTTAAAAAATTATTAGAATGTGCATTACATATATTAATACTTATGAGACACTTATGTATTTTAGAC